ATACTCGTATTTGGGTAGACGCTCTGTTTATTTATTAAATAGTATTTTATATCGTCCCTCTATAATCGAGACTGCACATATAGATATCTTATTAAACATAGGAATTCAGCCATAAATCTTTCGTTTATATGCTCTGTCTGTTTCTAGTAATAGAAAATTTAAACGATTTACTACCTAACTTAGATATAATAATTTACGCATATATATATATATATATATATATATATATATATATATATAATAAAAACAAACACTAATATTCTATGGTCATAATTTATTCCATTGGAATAAATTATGACCATGGAATATTAGTGTTTAAGCCTTTTTATTATATCCTTACTCTGTCCTGGACATTGAGTTCTACCTGAATTCTATCCTCTTGGAATTTTTTTTTATACAAATATATATGCATGTGTATGTATGTTTGTATATATATTTATATATTTTGCATATATATGTATATATTTACCACTAATATTATATATATATATCAGCTAAGGGATTATGTACATAATAGCCTAAGATCACATTGAGGCATGAAAGTTGTAGTCCCCATATCGGGTTTAATTCTATTTCCGAAATTTTAATCGCTATACATCTCATACTTTGATGACGTGTGTAGTAAGATAATCGCTAGTTTTAATAATAAAAAGTTTAATTATTAAAACGATATCGTACACTCATTCAGATATCTATGCGTGTATGTGTGACCGCAGGGCTGGTGTAAGTGTCTCGTACCCCACGGTAATTCATGATACGGCCTCTCACCCCGCCCGAAATCTATGATACGGAGCCCCCTACTCGGTTACATCTCATTTTTTATATATGAAGTATTCATATAAAATACCAAATTTTTGCAACTTAATTATCTACAATAATAGATCATAGGCAGTAAAGGTGAACAATTCAACTAGAAAAATTGAAAACAAGGTAAAAATCGCCCTATCGGGCGGCATTGAAGCTAGCTCCTGCGAAGAGTTCTTGATTGGGGCTTCATCACAATAGGTAGGGAGGAGTAGATGCGATAAGCAAGAATAAACTATACAAGAACGCAAAATTGATCGCTGCATTTAAGTATTACATTAATATTTAAGCTAATCTTTTAAATTGAATTTTAATTGAAAAGTGTGACACACTGACAATGACATTTATTATATAGGAGATGAGCTATTGATAGTGGTGTGCTTTTAAATGAAAAAATGTGACACACTGACATTGGCATTTATTATATAGACGGAGATGAGCTATTGATAGTTGTGTTCTTTTAATTGAAAAGTGTGACACACTGTCATTAACATTTATTATATAGAAGAAAAGCTATTGAGATTTGTGTTACTTTAAGTGGCATACTGACACACTGGCATTGTATTTTATTATACAGATAAATACAATGCATCTAAATACAAATTGGCGACATGTTATGATAGATCATTCCATCTTAAATCAACAATGTCTTATGGCAATTTTTATCATAAGCTTTACTTGAATAATTCTAACACATTCAACATTATGGATAAAAAATATTGGATTGTATATAGTGTTTTTGTTTTGTTTTTGTTTTTTGTTTTTTTTAGATAACACGCGCAAATCAAAGTCACGGGTTTGAACGAAAAAGAACTCAGAATGACGTCAAAATCCGAATATTTTTCATCCTTCAATAGACAGTTGTTCTTTGTTTAATTTGTAACGTATATAAATGTAGGTAGAAGAAAAGCAAATGCTGATAATATATACGATATATATGCATGTATGTATGTATGTATGTATGCATATGGGCGCGTGACCATGAAATCCGTGTTCGAATCTCACCATGGTCGATTTGTTCGGAATGTGAACTTGGTTATATCAGCCTGGGGAGGCGATTACAGCATACGGTAACCTTTAGAAAATGTCTGAAAAACATAGCACGGGTTAACTAAGCCCTGTGAATGAAATTATACGGAGCAGTTCAGAAGATGGATGTGCTTACACGAAGTCACAAGTCATTGTGACCGAGAGTTTGAGTATATTGGCCTTATTAAAAAGTTGATCACTCTAGATTATGTACTACCTTTAGAAAACTGTAACTAAGGTACGATGTGCATAGTTGCAGTATAAAACCACAATGGACACTGTCGATTAAGTGTAATAGGAATTTGAAAGTAGACGGGTGTGCCAGAAACGAGTAAGCCAGACATTGTCATTATATATATATATATATATATATATATATATATATATATGTATATATATGTTTGTGTGTGTGTGTGTGTGTACACGCACTTTGTACATACATGTACACTCTGAAGAGAACTGTGTTCAGCATGAAAAACTCAAATGAGATTTCCTAATCTGCGCAAGAGAATGTAAGACTCTAGCAGAACTAAAAAGCCGCACCTACGCTGTGCAAGCTTACGGCCATATCACGATGAAACACCGGTTCCCGCACGATCACCGAAGTTCAGCAACGTCGAGCTTGGTCAGTACTTAGATGGGTGACCTCTTGGGAATACCAGATGCTATAAAGTTGTATGTGTGGGTGGTGTAATGGATAACGGCTCGGAATTGTTAATCGGAGAGCCGAGTTCAAATTCAAGTTGGGTTCATTATATTCACTTACACGAAAATACTCATGGGAAAGTTCTGAAACCACATATTATCTCCCCAGCTATGGGTTAATTAGTAAAACCTTTTTCAATAAATCATTATTATCTAAAAAAAAATTATTACATTCTAAAAATATTTTCTGGCTTTAAATAACCTGGCAATGATTTATAAACCGCAGAAAATGAATGAACCAATTGTTTGAATATAAATCCAACAAGCGTATACTAGTCACAACCATTTATGATATATGAATTTTTAGGTCCGTTTCACCCCGGGCAAGACAGTTAAGCTACTAAGACACAAAGGGGTACTGAGTGTGAAAGAGTTAGGAACAAAAACATTAATATTGAGCGGGAAGAGTAAAGATTAATCAAGAGGACAGTAGATAGCGATTGACATTGCATTTAAATTTTGCAGATTAAAGTTGGCTGGAACGCATAGAGCCGGAAAAGAGTTTCCACAAACGAGAAGTGCGAGAAAAGAAGCTGTTAGCATAGAATTTACGGATGCATATAGCCAACGCAACTGTAAATTGATGAAATAGGTTGGGTTTGATTAACGGCATATCAACTCCTTATGGGTCATTTAATGCCGAAATTTTATTTTCTTATGAGCTTTGATAATTTTTTTTTTTCCATTAATGTCTTGTTGGTATTTTTTTATTTTTACTATGAAAATATATCGCTGGTAATTTTTCTAATTTATTTTTATATTTTCATATTGAAACCCCAGTTTGGGTGTTAACTATTTTCCCATGGCTAACTGATGCTACCACTGTCTGTATTTATGTATGGATTTATGTGTGTACGTATGTAATGTTAAACGATACTTTATGCTGATAAACTCATTCGCACAATGACAGAACCCCGATTGTCTTCCTACGCATGAAAATAGCTTTTTTCTCTTGTACTTACAATATATCATACATCTGTCAGTTTGTTCATTCAGAGCTGACAACGTTTGAATCAACAATACTAACTGCGAAATGTTTGATCAATATCAACTTCGCCATTTCTATCAGATTAGTGAAAATAGCTAGAAAGAACTTTCAATAAAAAATCATGAAAGAACAAGATTATATAAAGAGAAAGATGGACGGAATGAAAGAAAGGAATTTAAAAAAAAAAAAAAGAGGAAATGAAAAAAGAATAAAAAGGGAATAAAATCGAAATAACAGATGGGAAAAAAATAAGGATAAGGACAAAAGCATTTAAAGAAAAGGCGGGAAAGTAAAAAGAAAAGACGGGAAAATAAACAGAAAAGGCGGGAAAGTAAAAAGAAAAAGGAAAGAATAGAATTTTAAACAAAGTAACAAGCGAAGAAGACATGATTTTGTTTGCTGCGACTGAAAAGACCATCTGGCGTCCATTTAATAATATCCGTCCATAATTCATGCTTTGTTTTCTTTCCACCAAAACCGCCTTCTCTTTTCTTATTCTCCAGATCAAATCAAATTTTAGAAAATACAAAATTCATGTCTGCCCTCCTAGATTACACTATGCCCCACTAACATTTTACGCTCTTCTACTTATTTATGCATCATTTCCAATTCTTCTTCCACGTGCCCTGTCCCTTCCAGACGTGAGCGATCATGGCTTTCCACAACTTCCTATTGTTTTCTTGGCAATGTTTGTCTCCTTAGCATTTGACACATCTGAGATAACAAAATCAAACAAGTACAAAAATCTACATATCTGGGAAGTGTTCTGACAGAGGACGGAAAGTGTGACACTGAAATCCGAAGACGTATTGGGATCGCCTAAGATGCATTCCAAAAGCTAAGCAGAGTATTAAGAGACAGGAAAATTTCGTTAGAAACAAAGAAAAGAGTACTGAACTGTTACATGATATCTGTCCTCCTATACGGCTGTGAATGCTGGACAATCTCCTCAAAGACGAAGACGAGACCTGAGGCAATAGAAATGTTCTACAGAAAGATGCTGAAGATACTATGGACCGAACATGCGAGCAACGCCGAGATTTTAGAGAAAATGCAAACAAAATTAATATCAGGAAGAGTCAGCTGAAATTTCTAGGATATAATGAAGAAAGAGTGCTTGGAAAATCTGATACATAACATTTCAGGCAAGTGCAACAGAGGAAAATAATTTGATGAGCTTAAACAAATGGCTGGCGAAACAGGGTTTAGGAGAAATAACGAAAAGACAAAATTTATCAAGAGCTACAAAAGACAGGAAATAGTGGAGAGCCATGTTCTGAAGGGACGTGACACATAAAGCAAAATGATTCACCGTTCTGCCATCCATTCGCACAAACTCAAGCTGATGTCACGCTGCCATCACTTGTCCCTTTTGTTTTCGATATGTCCTGTGAGTGTTAAATTTTCTAGGCCTTCTTTTCTCATTATGTGTACTAGAAATATCAAGTGTCTCTTTCTGGTCTTTTTTCTTTTTATATTTTCTGTAATCAGTTTCTTCTTGCTTGGAATAATGCTACCTAAATTGCGGGACAGAGGGATTTCTTCGGTAACAAAGAATACTGAGCTGTTACGTGACATCTGTCCTTCTTTAGGGCAGCGAATGTTGGACGATTTCCTCAAAGATGAAGACGAGACTCGAGGCGACGGAGAGGTGCTTCTGCAGAAGGACGCTAAGGATATCATGGACCGAGCGTGTGAGCAACGATGAGGTCTTAGAGAGGACGCAAACAAGGAGAAGGCTTATACTTATCAGGAAGAGGCAGCTGAAGTTTCTGGGACACGTGAGAAAGGAGGGCCTACAGAATCTGATACTCACGGGTCGATGGAAAAAGTGACAAGGGAAAACAACGCATGACACACCTGGCAGGCTCAAGCAAGTGGATGACAGAATGTGGTCTAGGGGAGGAAGCAGAGAGAAGGAACTTGTTGAGAGCTGCAAGGGATAGAGGAAGGTGGAGAGCCATGATCGGCTACGTCCTGAAAGGACATGGCACATAGAAAGAATGAATGAATGAATGAATGAATGAATTTGTTTGTTTCTTTCACCAAACAGCGCAGCATAAGCCAACCAATATTAACACATGCGTATTCTGTTTGCTATCACAGTCGCGCTCCTCTGTTGCATCGTTAAGCACTTTTTATAGATTGAGTAACAGGTCAAATTTGCATAGGCGCCAAAAAAGAGTCTCGCGAAAAGAATCCAAATATCGTTTCTTACATATACGACTCGTAAAGCCGCCATTTTCTTTTTGGGATATTATTCACGCGAGACACGTCCGAATCCGTTTTCTGACAGGAGGTAAGCCATTTTTTTTTTCGTGGTACATTTTCCTTAAAACATTTTTATTGCTTACACGCTTTCGTTCATAATATTCTCAGCATCTTTCCGTAAAACGACCTCTATGTTGCCTCCAGTATTTTAATCTGTCCTATACTTACTGCCATATAAGAGCATTGATATTACATAGCAGTTCAGCTCCCTCTTCTTCGTTTCTAACCTAAATTTCCCTGCTTCTTAGTACTCTGTCTAACTTTTAGATAACATCTTCTGCTATTCCAATGTACCTCCGGTTTGTTAAACTTCTGTATTTTATCTCCTACTTCGCACCTTTTTTTTTCTTTTGCTGACAACCATACATTCAGTCTTCTTATAAGCGATAGTCCTTTTATCCCGCTTTTCTTTTCGACCTGGACTCGGCGCTCCTGTAGTTTCCCTTCTGCAATAGAACTTCTGCCAAAAAGCGCCCAATAAATAGCTAGAGCGATAATATTCAATAAATCAAGAAAATTTCACGAGACTTCTCTGATTGACTGACTCAAGAGTTTCGAGTCCAAACGTTGATCGAGTTCAGATGTTCGATAAATCTATATTTAGATAGATCATCTAAACAACTATTGAAAATGATGCAGACATTGGTCAATTAATAATCGTTTTGGGCTCTATGATTCATTTTAGTGAATCGACACATTTTTGAAAGGAAATATAACTTTCGTCTGTATTTTCATATGCTTTAGTTAAATATACTTGCCATTTCTTCCAGAAATAACTTGTTTAATTTTTGAGACTTGGGGCTCAATTTACAATATAAATATGACGTTAAACTAGACACTTAAACTGTATTTTTTAATCAAGTAGTCAGGGTTTTTTTTCCTTTAGTATATAACGTCCATAATTTTAAACTACGTAAGCCGAAACAGAACAAAAATAGATAAATTTGTATTTTCCATTTCTCAACGACTAGGAATTCAATTTATAGTGTTAGCGAAACCCTGACTTCAGACCTTAAATCCAACCCTGACCTTTAGCCTTTAACCATAATGTCAGGTTATTAATTTCAGAAAGAAAGAGAAAATACAGTTTAGTTTTTGCTTTCGTACTTAAAAAAATGCACACACATTTGCATAAAGCAATAAAGCCACTACGACGTAAGAAGTTCCTGAGTGTGATAGAATATGAGAAAATGGAAGACAAAGGTAAATGAGAGAGAATAATAAAAAAAAATAAGAAGACAGAAGTTAACTGTCTATATTTCTGAGATGAGGTATTATGTACATTATTTACATTATTCGGACTATTCTCATCTTTGTCGCCATATTTATCACAACGTTTCGGCCGTTGTACGCTCCGGCCTTCTTCAGATGGTTGGAATGTTGAACTGAACCCTTTATTTCGCTCACTGGGGTAGACTGTTCTAGTTCCACGTGCCATGTGTTGATGGATATCAGTTATCTCCTGTTAATTCCCCTCTCCAAGTTCTCCACTGCCTTAACCGGGTATTGAACTCACACTCCTTGAGGACACATGGCACAGTGGATAAAGGCGTTGGTTAGATCCAGTGACAGGACCCAAAGAGTGTGAGTTCAATACCCGGTTAAGGCAGTGGTGAACTTTCAGAGGGAAATTAACACGAGATAACTGATAACTTATATAATCTCTAGATAAGATACATCTATTTATTCCCAAATATACAGGA